AAGCGGGGAGCCTGCTAACCGGCTTTGTCTCTGGCGCGGCCTGCGTGTCCATCCGCCGGGTCCTCTGAGCGGAACGGCCGCCCCGCGCCAGTGAAGCCGTTCATTTCCAGTAATCGCTTTATATTGGGAGCGTAATCAACTGAGATTATCTTCTGGGGGCTTCCCGGCGCTGCGTCATCGGCTTACCTTTTGTTGGGGGTGGGGGTGGGGGTCCGGGGGGGGGGGGGGAGAGGGGGAGCGGTCCGGCCAGCGGCAGCTGAGCACTCCGCCTTTACCGCGCACTGCCAATGTGATCCCCGGCATCAGTTCAGGGAGCGAGCTTGTCATCGCCCATCGCCACCGCCCACAAGCCTGAATAGCTGGCCTCCTGGTATCTGCGTCCGCTTCTGGAGAAACCCGGCGGTGCTTGGGCAGCCTATTTAAGGCATGACTAGCGCATGATATGTGCTGTAAAGAGATGCATTGAGCTAGAAAGTGAGATAAAATGGAGCACGTATAAAGGGGATGACAAATCTGAAAGCCCCCAAGCTAAACAGAACCAGACATCTGTTCAACCTCTGTTAAAGTTGTTAAGTCATCAGACGGCAAAGTGGTCTGAATGCGTCAGTTGTTTAACTTTGCCGGCAGCAAATGTTTGTACTGATTATATACTGATGAGTCTCCGAATGCAGATACGCATGTGGCTGGCAACACAGCGATGCTCTCCGTCAGAATGCCATTGGACTTAAGCGAACAGTCGGCGCACTGGTGCGGTCTGGCATGTTTCACAGGTCATGCATCGGCTGCGGCCGGTTTGGTGTCCACCGCACCTGGCGTGTGACGATTTATCAGTGACTCTGGCGCCGGCGGGACCGGGCACACACGCACCGAACGGACAGCACCGCAGTTAGCACGCCCGTGTGGCAGACGTCCGCTTGGTAACCCGCTGTTCTGTCTGTCGGAATGATAACTTAGTCATGTCTGGGTCTGTTCGTCCACGCAAGCCCTCTGTCTCTCTGTGCCCAGGTCCGTCTGGTGTGGCCCTGCGTCTGCCAGTTGGTCCGTCTGGTCTGGCCCTCCGTCTGCCAGTTAGTCCGTCTGGTCTGGCCCTGCGTCTGCCAGTTGGTCCGTCTGGTCTGGCCCTCCGTCTGCCAGTTGGTCCGTCTGGTCTGGCCCTCCGTCTGCCAGTTGGTCCGTCTGGTCTGGCCCTCCGTCTGCCAGTTGGTCCGTCTGGTCTGGCCCTCCTGGTCTGCCAGTTGGTCCGTCTGGTCTGCCCCTCCGTCTGCCAGTTAGTCCGTCTGGTCTGGCCCTCCGTCTGCCAGTTGGTCCGTCAGCACATCAGATCGTCAGCTGACGCGCTCACTGATAGACCGCTCTCCCTGCTGGTATCCCACCCTGTGTCCGTTCGCTGAGCCTTCCGTCCGTCCGTTCTTCTGTCCATCCGCCCGTCCGTCCGTCCGCCCGTCCGCCTTCCGCTTGGTAGTTCACTGCATCCACCCGTCTACCCCCCATCCGTCCGTCCGTCCGCCCGTCCGTTCGTTCGTCCGCCCGCCCGCCCGCCCGCCCGTCCGTCCCTTTGTCCGTCCGCCCGTCCGTCCGTCCGTCCGTACGTCCGTCCGTCCGTCAGCCTTCCGCCCGGTAGTTCACTGCATCCACCCGTCTACCCGTCCGTCGACCACCCCTCCGTCAATCCGTCCGCCCGTCTGTCCGTCTGGCCACCCGTCCGTCGGTCGGCGCGCACGCGCCGGAAGCGGCCCGGGCAGACGGACGCCTCCCACGCGACAGGTGCTTCCGGCGTCAGCTGGTGCGGCGGCGCGTGCCTCCAATCTGGGCCGGGCCGGGCCGGCCGCCACTTCCGTCGGATGCACGCCGCGCTCCGCAGAGGCGCGGCCCGTGACCCCGACCTGACCCTCGGCGGCCAGAGGAACTGGGGGTGGGTGGGGGTCAGTGGGCCACTGTCGACAGGCGGGGCAGTAATTCTGATCCGCACATCTAGCACGCCGTTGGTTTTTTGAGAGCGTTGATTGCTGCGGGAGGGAGCCGTTCACGACGCCCACGGCGCCTCAGAGCTGCGCCTGCAAGATGTTTGGTGCTTCAGTCGCACGGCCGCAGACGAGTGTTGGGTTTCTATTGTGATGAGTGATGCATTAGTTCTGTGCAGTGTTTCCTCGCAAACAAGACCCAACTGCATCGCTTAGAAGTTTCGTGGCGCTTCGCACACTTGATTGGAACTGGCTGATATCGTCACTAGCACTCGTCACTTTCGTGCGTCAGATTCGTGCTCGTCAGATTCAGCATTGTCTGGGCTCGTTACTTTCACCACACAGATGGAACCCTAACATGCTGGAATGAAAGTGTCCAGCCACATCATGGACACCTGATCTTTGATTACATATCGTCGGATAGCGGGTGTCGCCGACATCTGGCACATGAAAGAAAGGCGATAATCTGTCTTTAAATCTGGCAACGCCAGTCACTTTCTTAGATGCCGCGGGTCTGCTACAAAAAAAAGAATTATGTTTCAGTTCCCCGAACGAGCCCAAATGGTGATCATGTTAGCATGCACCTGGACACATCGAATAACATGGAGATAATCCGGCAGGCGATGTAATTTTTCAGATAATATCGGGTCGCACAATGCAGAGTTCATCAGCCAGTCTGGGCACCGCATCTCTATGTCCAGGTGCCGGCGAGCAGCCGCCGCGCCAGCAGTCCGGACGAGTGGTCGTGACCGTGACCCCCTGGGTGACCTTGAATCGCCCCCTAGCCGGCTGACAATAAGACAGGTGCAGACCAGGATGCGCGGAGGGAGGGGAGGGGAGAGGGGATTACGGAGCACTGGACACCGTCGTGTTCGGTTTAGGCGAATGAGTGTGTGCGCCAATAGACGACATAAGCCCATACACGGATTGGATTAGACAGGGGTAAGGGACGACTATGAGTGAGAAGCCTGGCTGTTCACAAAGTGTGGACAAATAGAAGAAGTGTGACTGTCTGAAGGTCAGACACATACATGGAAGGCTAAACCTCGCCCTGATTCACCGTTTTTCATAACCGAACTGATGGGAGAGGGTCAATGCTTCCCCCCCCCCCGGCCCTTCCCAAACTAATAAGGATGGGGCCTTTCGGAAAATCGCTGGCTGGTATCAGTTAAATCTGGTGATTGGAAATAAGTCTGATATTGCTAGGTCAATAATTGGATCCACTATGCCATGTCGAAGGCAATTTTTTCTGATAATCGAACTATTTTAGGTTTAAATGTCAATATTCACGAGACCTTGCCTTGTGTCAGCATGAAGCTTACACAGACGTGTTTATTGCGCAATTCTGAACACAATGAAATTTAGTTTTGTGTATTTTGAGCATGTGTTTATGCTGCAGAGTTGCGTTACAATAACAATGGCGTCCTCATCACGCGCGACCGGCGGGTTCGTCGGTCGCTGCCCGTCGGCCGTAATTCTCCGTGCAGTGTTCCTGAAAAGCAATCCCTTCTCGGGAAGCAGCGATGCTTTAAGTGTGTTTTGGTGTTAAAGCACGTCCAAGAAAGGATCAGAGGCTCCTGAAAATTTTGTTCCGACTTCACGTACAGGAGAAATGTCCTTAGGCAACATTCCGGGGGCTGTATCGACCCCCCCCCCCCCATCTCAAGGCGAGCGAGTTAAGGCTAGTAAAGGTTCTATGGTGAACCGAATAAATAATGCAACATTTAGAGGTCTCATTTCGCAAACATTGAAACGGCTTTTCTGATACCACTTGTTGCCACCATCAACGAGTGGTTGTTCCAGTTGGTCTTAGGTGTGTGCCACATAAAATGTGGCACACACCTAAGACTTCTTCCGATAATCAATGCGTGAAGTTCTGATTATCATCTTTGTTGCCGACATACCTAAATCAAACTATTGCTGGCATTTAGGCACAACAAGCATTGTTTACACCGCTAGAGAAGATGACGCTCTACTTTATGCCTTCTTGAGTCAGGCCAGTCAGAAGTCACCATTTGACCCTCTCACCAGAGTGCTGCAGCATTGTTATAGACGGAAGAGCGGGGAATGCGCCCATACGTGTCATGACACCGCCAGCTTCCAAGCATGCTCAGCATTCTTGGAAACACTGAATGGCGACGCATGGAAAGAATTGACTCCAAAATTGATTGAAGTGACACCCCACTACCTGAGACCTTCCTTCACCAATGAGCGTCTCTACACCCGTGCACACGTGGTCCAAAGTTACCTCGCTGTGGAAGACATCTCAGATTACAGGTTTGGGATAAAAAAGACAAAGAGTCAAATGCTGAGATCTTAAGTAGCTACTTAGATGCTAGATGAATGTTTTCCCATAGTTACTAAGGCACGAACCTTCCAGTGTTAGGGAGTACTAGTGCGAATTCAAGCTCAAGACCAAGACATGGGTCTTACACTGTAAAGCTCTCTCCTTCTTGCGGCAAAACGGAACGGTGTTTGGTACGTCTTAGTTGTGAGGCGGTGACAGGTGCTAGTCACCCTCGCAGGCAAGATGAGCTCGCCCGCGGGGCACCGAGACGACCGGACAGTACAGTAACAGCTGGATCGAAGCAAGAACCTGGTCTGTGGCCATAGCGCCTCGTCTAAAAAGGATATAACAGTGCTTTCATGCACTCAGCCTCAAAGGCCGATAATGGCTTGCGCGATTGCGTCCGTAAAAAATTGGCCGAGACCAAATGTCCCAATGCGGCGCCTGCACGGCAGTCTGGCAATGGTCGCTGGTCGGCAGCAAACGACGCTTACCTAAACGCTCTGCACTCCGTCACGACCACATTCAGCTCTGGGTCGGCAGCCTGCAGCCGGTCAAAGGCAGGCCGGTCCGCTGCTCTAATGGCATTGCCGGGTAATTTTCACCGGTAGTCCGGCGTCGCTTCTGCACGATGGGACGCCCTCGAAGCCGGGCTGCGCTCCGCGGCCAGCCATTGGTCCGCGCTGGTGTGACGTCACAGGCCCGCGTACGCGGCACATAATCGCTTCCTGGCGAAGCAGTGGGCAGGCGGTGACCGGCGCGGGTGGTGCATGGGATAGGTGGCTGTCGGAAACCGGGCGTACGGGGTGTCACGTGACGGCCCGTGCGAGGTCACGGGGCGCGAGGAGTTCGACGGTGCTGATTGGTGGTCGTATATCTTCCAGGTGAGTTCTGGTTTTTTGGTTTGCGACTTCCCGGAAGGTGAGAAACGTGAACCCTCTTGGTCCGAGCATGTTCCCAACAATTGTATTGCCCGTGATGATCGGAGGCGTATCTTGGTAAGCAATCATTCATGACACATTGCCATCATATAACTCTGAGGAAACCAAACGACCAAGTGTCATCAATTCACTTGAAAGGAACCACGAGGTCAAGAAACATACCCCGTCCAGCGACCCGGCGACACCCACTGGCCAGGGGCCGTACCGGTCGGTTGACAATGTCAGCTGAGCAGCCCGCCGCCCAGCAGCGCCGAGGCCAGGGCCGGTCAGAGACCCGCCGCTTAACAATGGAGACTTCAACTGGGCCAGCGGAAGCGACAGCCGGTAACCGCCACAGGGAGCGAGGCACGAACACCGACGGCCGACCGCTTCCGGTGAAACGGCGCCCCTCACCGCTAGAACACTGGCGAATGATTGAGGACATAGTTGGCAGTAGCCATGTTTGGAAAAAGTCCGAAGATTTAGTACATGGGCTCAAACGTTCAAGCTTTCAGGAGCGTCGTTGCTTTGATGGTTGTCCCGCAGTTTGATCACTACCACTCACGGCGGTCCCGAGCTGCAATAGCTCTGCCTTTTGATAGGTTATCGACCATATTTTCTCGACTTTGCGCGTTTTTAAATGGGCGTTTATCAACACCGTCGATAAAGACACAAACCACGAATCAAGGGTGCTCTTGGATCGACGGTGGCAGCCGCCATAACTCACGGAATCGATCTTCAGCGTGTTCAAGGTGGTTTCGCTCATGAAGTGTGAACATCAAATGGCTATCCCGTATATCATTGCGCACACAATGCTGGCAGGCCACACTGCAAGCTGCGTGATTCTAATTCCAGCCGCCTTCGTTGAGCATACAAGCGATGCTGGCATTGTCTAAAAGATAACATTGTTAGCGCCAGACAATGCCTGGCGGAGAAGATCCCGGTGATGTAATCTCCAAGGTCAGACGCATTGACAGCCTGCTTCACGGTGAATGGACTCGTGCTGAAACCGCCTGCATCAAACTTGAATGCCTGCCTTATCAGCATTGTTCATGTGCGCTCTCTATTCAAATTTACGACTCGAAATGCGCGTCTTGTTTCTGTATCGGTCCCTTTTGCTTTCTTCTCGTATATCCTCTAATTGTGTTGCATGCCCCCTATCAAACGAACAAAAGTAGCTCACTGGGCTGGTGTGCGCTCCCCGCAAGGTACCCCGTCCAGAAATGTACGCGTAATGGCCGAGTGGTTAGCACCTTCGGCTCCCACATTGGGGCCCAGGGTCGAATCCCGGTAGATCCATGGCTCCTGAGCGCTAATAGGACCTCTGCAGTCGCTGACGCTTCATAAATATTGCTCGACAATGTGCGTCGTATTCCTAAAAAAATGAATCGATAGCTCTTTTACGTAGTTCCTTTCATTAATTAGCCCGGCGCCCCTGACGTACATATCAGATTACCACGTTACCTCGATTCTTGATTATACAGCTTATGCCTAACCTCACTGCTGTGGGCTTTACCCTTCCTCACCCCTCTCCCCCACTCTCCCCCTCCTTTCTCCGATACTTCAGTAGGACCTCAGGTCTTGCTCTTGAGTAGCGTTGTTGATCTCTACACGCTCTTACCAACCACCAGCGCTGCGCATGGCCAGGGCTTGAAGCGGAACACCCAGTCCCTCACCCTCCGACCGGACGTCCCACGGTCGTCGCAATGAACGGCCAGGACGCGGCCCACGGCCTTCCCGCCAACCGTGGGAAAACAGATCAGTCCCTTCCGGCGCCGCCTGTCCACGGCCGGTCGTTCTCACGGGCCCGGCTCGTCCCGGCCCTGGTCCAGGCGGAGCGGGTGTGGGGCGGCCAGCCGGAGCGGGTGTGGGGCGCCAGCCTGGACGGGGTGTGGGGCGCCCAGCCGGAGCGGGTGTGGGGCGTCAGCCGAGCGGGTGTGGCGTCAGCGAGCGGGTGTGGGGCGGCCAGGACGGAGGGGTGTGGGAGTCAGCCTGGAGCGGTGTGGGGCGCCAGACGGAGCGGGTGTTGAGCGCCAGACGGAGCGGGTGTTGGGCGCCAGACGGAGCGGGTGGGGGCGCCAGCCGGAGCGGGTGTGGGACGCCAGCCGGAGCGGGTGTTGGACGCCAGCCGGAGCGGGTGTTGAGCGCCAGACGGAGCGGGTGTTGGGCGCCAGTGGAGCACCTCGCCGGTTATGGCGTCATCGCAGGCGACGCGCACCTGGAAGTGGGACGGCGAGATGGCGGAGGCACGATTGCCAGTGGCTGAGCCAGAGTTTCTCTTCCTGTTCGTGGCTGCTGCTGTAACAGCAGTGTCACGAATAACAGACCGTGGGAGCGTGAGGCGAGGTTGACTTGTACGAGTTCTAGGAATGTGCATAAAAAGGCTCCAACCAGTGGACAACCGGTCAAACATGTCAGTCGCACCGCTTGAATTTACGGTCGATGTGTTCGTTCTCTTCCACAGGGTCATGCTGAAGCACGTGCAGATCAACCCGCCGCGGTCCTCGCTGATACGGTCTGGCCAGAAGGCGGACACTCTGAGCATCAACTCCACCATGAGCTTCAGCTCACTGCACGAGCCGGCTCTGTCGTCTCGCTCCTCCTCCTACACATCGCTGAACGAGACACAGAGCAGCACGGGCAGCACCAGCGTGCCGGCCACGCCCACGGTAAGACGGAGGTTTGAACCAAGCCTCTGACCACGCCCAGACCCGGTGACGTATTCAACTTGAGGACTGGCACCTGTTGCAGATAGGCTCCTACTGCCTTATCGAATATTAACGCGCATCAACATGCTTGTGAAGAAATGTCTACAATTCAAAGGGAATGTTTGAAGATATTCAGGCAAGCATCAGTTATTATGGGAAAACTCATAACTATTGAGGTGGTTTTGAATGTAAAAGAGTGTTTTAGACACCAAATTTTCACCCTGATAAATATTCTACTAAATACGGCATCGTTTGATTGTGTCATGGAACGTTTTCTTATGACGTCAGAGTCGCTGCCAAGCTGAACGCATCAGAATTGCCAGCGCGGTGTACGGCTAATTAACCTGTAGTACCTTAACTCGCTGCAAGGTACCTCATTCATTTATGCGTGCGAACCAAACCTACGGTCGTTGTGTGAGCTCGTTTTGGCACTTTCTCGTGGTGTTCGTGTCTTTTGTCCGTGATGGAATGAAGTTACGGCGCTATTCTTAAGCTAGTCTCTTCCCAGCCTCATTTATGCCAAACTAATAGGCCTTTCCAAATGCCTGTATTATTTACCACAAACGCGGTTCGTGTTCAAAACTAGTACTTAACGCGCCTAGCTAGTTGAAAGCTAACTGCTGTCCGTTGATGTGATGGCCGTGTATACGTGCTCCAGACACGAATAACTCGACGGTCACATTCCTCTTGTGGCCATTGAGTTCATCTTGACGTTGAACGCAGTATGGGAGGCGTAATTCGTTTGACGTTCCTTTGACGTCATGCCTGCCTAGTTGACTTCAAATTAGGCGACACGAAATGGTCTGCAGCACTTAACGTACTCCTAGCTCAGAAGCAACAGAACTTGTAGTCTGAAAAGAGGCATAGCTATGATTGATCTAAAGAGAATAATACGGAAAGGGGCTATCTAAGCTCAAAACCACTTAAAAAAAACACAAGGTTCTCTTCAAGAGTTCCATGTAAAAAAGAAGCGGACAAATACAAGTAAATAGCGATGTTGTCGTATGCCCTATTATAAATTTCACGCCTAACGAAATCCTGCCTACGCCCCTATCCAGACGTGGATCAGGCCAGGCCGCAGCCGGACACAGAGTTTCACCAAAGACGATTGTCGCTTCCCCTCTATCAGCGGATGTCATCGCCCTTTTCCGCCGGCCTTACGGGTCAGTGTCTGTGCATTCTCCGAGTGCAAGGCCGGCCTTACGGGTCAGTGTCCGTGCATTCTCCGAGTGCAAGGCCGGCCTTATGGATCAGTGTCCGTGCATTCTCCGAGTGCAAGGCCGGCCTTATGGATCAGTGTCCGTGCATTCTCCGAGTGCAAGGCCGGCCTTACGGGTCAGTGTCCGTGCATTCTCCGAGTGCGAGGCCGGCCTTATGGGTCAGTGTCCGTGCATACTCCGAGTGCAAGAGCACAGTGCGAGTCATACCCCTTGCTAAGGGCCATTCTGATCACAGACACAGCGAGCCACCGCCCAGCGGGCCGCTCAGCGGGACGCCGCTCAGCGGGCCCGAACGTGCGACTATTTTAATCGCGTCACATTGCAGCGGATGTTGTTGAATGGACCGGTTCACGATGAGAGGCTGCTCTCTGGTCATCACTTACAATGTGGCTGACTGGGCACATTTCACGTTGCTGTTGACGGCAATGTGACCTTATCAGCAGATGCCCGACCTTGATTTGGCTGTGGTTATGAACAATTTGAACTCTCTTATCTTTGAGTACTCATTTCTGCGGGCTGATCAAATGTTGGCATGAAAGCTGAGACGTTTGTTGATGCATTCGTTGGAGGAGACCTGCTTTATTTGTCTACATCATCAGCATGACAGAGCTGGCTGTAAAACAACGTTGTAGACGTAGCGCCGGCAGACATAAAGTAATGGGTTGAAAAGCTGAAAACCAAACTCAACAGCGCAACAACTTATATTTTTCATTGACTACACATGACACCTTTTGCTTCCTTGTACAGAATAGAACTAAGGTCTTTACACAACACCAAAAGGTGCGAGTGGTGTCCCGAACACGACATCCTCACCAGCACCATTCTGCCGCACTGATTCTGCGTGCGCATCAGTCTGGCTCCGGTTCGCTGGGTCACGCAGCGCAGGTGACGGTAGAGTTTTAGTAGCAGCCCATCGATTAGACAATGGCGGCGGAGAACCAAAAGAATGACATTTTTCACACTGATTGCGATTGACACGCGCCTATTGGATTTTATGACCCCTTATTGGGCTATACTTACGGGCTTAAGCCGTCCGTAAATATCATCTTGAACGCGTTCGGAGTACTCTTCCCCACTCACACGAGCCCTCTCTCCGGCCAAGGTCGTGAGCGTCGCAACCCCTGAGCGTCGGAACAGGTGCGAAACCTCTTTACGAGATGAATATTCACAAGCTATGAGCCTGCGGTTGCCGCTGGTTTCCGGCCGCTGCATGCTTCGGTTTGTCCCAGCCACTAAACGGCATGGCTCGCTGCTGCGGCACCAGCTCGCTGTTTCCTCGAACCCTGGCTGGGAGGGGTCGGAGTCGGGATCGTGCCGGGCCGCTCTCAGTATGGCCGGCGACCGCTGCTGACCACGCTGGACGGACCGCAGCGGGTCTGGAGCTGGCGGCGGCCGGCTGACGGCAGATGGCCAGCGTCAGCTCCAGGCGCAGCCGGCAGGATCAGCCGCCTCCCCGGGCATGGGATTATCTCCAGGTGTAGTTGGCAGGATCAGCCACCTCCGCCGGGCCTGGGATTATCTCCAGGCCAGCGCCAGCTCCAGGCGTAGTCGGCAGGATCGGCCGCTTTCTCCGGGCCTGAGATCCTCTCCTGGCCGGCTGGCAGCTGGCAGCAGCTCCAGGCGCAGCTGGCAGGATCAGCCACCCCCCCCCCTCCCTCCCCCCGGGCCTGGGATTATCTCCAGGCCAGCGCCAGCTCCAGGCGCAGTCGGCAGGATCAGCCGCCTCCCCGGGCCCGGGATTATCTCCAGGCGTAGTCGGCAGGATCAGCCACCTGCCCCGGGCCTGGGATTATCTCCAGACCAGCGCTAGTTCCAGGCGCAGACGGCAGGATCAGCCACCTCCCCTGGGCCTGGGATAATCTCCAGGCCAGCTTCAGGTCTCTCTGCCAGGCACACCGGCGTTGTTTTGGCGGTCGCCCAGCTGTGCGGCCCGCGCCGGCCGGGCGGGTGTACCGGCCGGCGGCGGAGCGGCCCGCTGTTGGCTGGCCAGATGGCCTGCCTCCCAGTGTCATCCTCACGCGACTGGCGCCGTGTGGGACAGGCCTCTGGATGGAAACGACGCCAGTCAATGTCCAGTTTGCTGGCATGTGTAATGTGGAAACTTTGGGACCGTGGAAGACTCGTGCTACCGTGGTTCCATGTTTAATGCAAGACATTAACATGACTTTTTGCGTCGATATTTATCTCAATATACGGTGTGTGATGTCATAGACGAATAGATTTATTTTCCGAGTGGTGGATGATGCACATGCTTTGCAGCACCCGGCGTAAATGGCCAATTGCGAGCGAGTCTCATGCCGTCGACCGACAATTTCAGACGACGGTGAAGGTGTACACGCGCTGTCTGCGGCCTGACCTCGAGTACAAGACCATGTGTGTCAAGTACACAACCACGTGCCGGGACGTGGTGGACCAGCTGCTCAATAAGTACCGCATGAAGCACCGCGACCCTAACCTGTTCTTCCTCACCATGGAGGTGGCCACCAGGAGCACAGGTCAGTCGAGGTCGCCACAAGAGCGTCGGCTCGTCCGGCTCTTTTGCCGGTCTGGCAAACATTACAGCAATGAAATATTCAAATCGTGATCAAAATGCATATCACGCAAATGGTAGCATCATGCATTTTAGTCTCATGCGCAAGGTGCCTTTTTCAAAATGGATGCTAGAATCAAAGCGTAAAAAGGTAGATCGCACTCGAACAATATGTTACGTGGACATGTTAGTTGTCACTTTGCCTCATCGTTAATGTGTGTTCGAGCCTGACGGGAATCGAACAAGCATGCTTTTTGAAGTGTTTAGAAAGCGTTCGTGATACACATGTCACCGCTACGGGACTTGGTAAAAGATCGTGCCAGAAACCCGGATATGACCTTACATTTGACTCGCGTATGGTGTCGCTTGGCTCATTGAGATGCACCACGGGAGTAGGGCCGGGTCCTACTCGCGTCGGAAATGTTTGCCGAACGGGAGGGGGCACAGACTCCGGGCGTACCCCCGGCTGCCGGGGTGTCACGTGCCGAGGTCACGGAGCTCGACCTCAGGGTCAATGCCGCTTGGCCGGCGGACTGGGGCTTCCTTCCGCCTGCCATGTTCTGGTCTGAAGCTTCAGCACGGGATTACCGGCTACTATAGAAAACGGCGCCCGTTAGTGGATACAAGAAGGCAGCGGTGATAAGAGCCGGAATAACGAGAATGCACAGAGGCGTCGGATTGATGGAATTGGGCGACATGCTGAGCACATTACACTCATAATTGCTGGTTGAGCGATCTGATACGTCTGCAGACGCCTGTGCACATTTACAGACACGTGTCACAAACGCCACATGCCGTATAAAAACATCTTGGGGCGGAAGCTGAAGGATGATAAATAACTGATAAAAATACAAACAGGTTCTTATCCATCTCGGGTATGATCTGGTTAGGTACTGCACGTCCCTCCCCCCCCCCCCCTCAGTGGCCCTGTTGGAGGAGACACTGCCAGACAATATGGGCGTTGTGAGACGATTACGGGTGACACCTTCGTGTGACCCTGCTGTCGGTGCGTGCAGCTGGCTCATCGTGACCGCGCGCGTTTCCGTCGTTGTGACGCAATATTCGGAGTGATTCAGTGCTGCGTGCTCGCCCTAATCGGCACTACTGGTCTGCTGCCTTCTTGTGCGGTGCTCCACTGTGAGCTGCGGCGTTGCACGCGCCATGTCATGCTGCTGAAATGATGACGTCTCTTTCGAAGCCGGGAGAGCGACAGCTAGCATCGTGTAAACTCAATTAAGGTCATAGTCGCACCACTAAAGGATGGCGGACAGTCTGTCAGTGCTGGGCTGTGCGGTGCTGGACTACTTCGGCCGTAATCACGTGACCAGGGGTGTGACCTGCCTGCTCCCCGGTAAAATGATTATAGCGCTCCATACAGTTCATACCGCCGACTACCACCGGACACCGGGAAATGGAGCATGCCCCAATCACGACAGCGGGGACTGAGCGGCTGCGTTATTGACAGGTGCTTCTGTGCGGACGATCCTGGTGCTGGATGACGACTCGTGTCCAGCCCAGCTGCAGGCCTGCTACCCGCGCGCCGACTCCAGGTGAGTACACCGCACTTCGCTGAATGTGGGCACCGCAGCGCGGCGCGGGGTGAGCGCCGGTAGCCGGCACCTGCTGGCCGCCGTCGCGTCAACGTCACGTCACGGCTCCCACGCCGCGTCACGTCCGGCCAGCAAGTGGGCCGTGCCATGCCGTGCGGACGAGGCCGGCGCGCGCGGCCGGCGGCGCTGCGCGTGCTTACAGTGGTCGCCTGTAGTCCGCTGCGGCAGTGCCGGGCCCCTGCCGGCGGCGATACGGCACGAAAGCGAGCGCCGTTATGTGAGGTGGCGAATGAGGAAGTAGTGCATGGGACGGGCGGTGTCCAGCTAACGTTACCGGTGCGGTCTGGGCTCTTTGTTGAAGTGATTATAGATATTGGCGTCGGCAGTGCCAGACAATCAGTTCTAGTCGGTGTTATTAGGCGCATTGGCACGACTGATGGTGCCAGGACAGGCCATGGAAAGAGTGTCTGGCACTGGCATGGCCGTGAACAGATCTGTCAATCGTGACCCTGAGTAATCTGTGCACATGTCTTTAGACCCAAACAGCGTTCAAAATAGCGCTGATTACCGGTTGTCTCCCGCTGAGATGACGAGCAGCCGGCCGGCCGTCACCGCTGCTGGTTTGCCTCTGCTGCAGGTTCACCGTTCGCATGAGGCGAGGCGGCCTGGTGAAGGTGTTCGACAGCGTGCTCATGGCAGGGGTGAGTTAGCATGGCGACCGGACCTGCCCACCGGCACGGTCGTGTCGGCAACGGTACAGCCGCACGCTGTTATTACCTGGCGGTTTTAGGAGCAGTACTGCAGATTGTGGCAGGCGTGCTCGTCTTTCTAACACCGTCGCCGTAGTATGGAGGCTGAACCCGGCCCCAGCGAAGTACGCTGGCAGCACGACCGTTTCATGGCATGCCTTTTCTTCTACCAGCTTATGATGATGGTGATTTGGGGTCCCAGAGGTTGTATGCAATAATGGCTCAGCATTCGGGGATCTTAAGATCAAATTTTATCCTGCCGATTTCGATGAAGCCGGCATGAAATATCAGATGGTTGCTTTACCTTGCGCCGATTCAACGGCGATTTTCTGTAGAGAAGCCCCACTCTCGCGGCGGGCCGGGCGGTGTTTCCATGCACGGTGCGCTGATAATTTTCCGACTTTTGTGGTGCGTCGTCCGGTCTCCGCTCGAGATCGCGCCAGCCCATAACTTTTCTTCCATTTCCCTGTGTAATATGATGAATTGTCTGCAATCATTCGACGCATGCTATCAGTGTAATCCGGTATTCATATTCTTGACATTTCCTGCAAAAAGTCTAGACACAACATCAGTTTAACTAAAAATGCATTCATTATTGTTACTGAAGCGTCTGCGTCTCGCTACTTCCAATCACAAGATGTGAAATGCTTAGTGGAAGCTCAACTCATAGCGCGTAAATGCGCATCTAGTAGATTTCTAGTATTATGCTAAAATTACCGGACGTCGTTCCACCCGGCTTCTATTATCCTGGGTTTAATTGGCACGTCAACACCTGAGAACCACACATCGCATGTGCGCCAGTAATTTGTGCCGCCGACGGCCGATCTGATCACACCATTGTTTGTTGTTTGCTTTGCAGTCTAAGTACAAGAGCCTGCTGATCTCGGAGAGGACAACTGTTGACCAGATGATCCAGTTGTTGCTGAACTGTTACAACTCCTCGGAGGGCGTCAATCTCTTCGGCATTTACGAGGTACGTCTGACTTCAACAGCGTTTGATTGGGATTTAAATCATCTGCCGAGTAGTTCTAACACATCAAGGTTATATTTGGAGCAGTCTCTGTGAACCGCTTTGCATTCTACCGATGTTGCGATACACACTGTTCTTGCACTGTCACTCGACAAGCCACTTCTAGTTCACCTTGAAACTGCCCCGCCGACCGCGCCTGACTTCCCGCCTGTATCTCACAGGTGGGCCGTACAACGGGCTTCGAGCGCAAGCTGCATCCGGACGACCGTCCGCTGCTCATACAGCAAGAGTGGGCCTCCAGCAGCGACTACAGCTTCGTGCTGAGGAAGCGGCCGCCGGGCACACCACGCATCGGACGGGACTTCCCCCTCAGGCGATCGGTGAGTGACCCTGAGCTGACCTTGTGGATGGCGATTACCTCATCAGCAAATGAGAAGTGGTCTTGTTTGTACTTCAGCTTCTCGGGGGTGTGCTTGCTGCGCAGCCGTTCGATGAGATCGTAACTCAGGTGACATCGTCTGAGTGGGCCTGATTCTCATTCGGCCTGACATGCTGTCTGCAACGTCACCACCCCCTTGCTGGTCACTGCAGAGTTGTGCAGAGGGGGTACAGTTTGTTTGTGGACGGGAGTCGGTCTCGGCGGCCTACCATTTGTCCTGGCCCGTCAGTAAGCTGGAGCCGGCAGCGGCTGAGACGGACCAAGCTGTTGCAGACGATCCGAGGACGATCCGGCGAAAGGCCGCAGTTGTCCTGACCCAGGTCTCTCTATCAAATGTATTAATAAGCAAAAAGGGAACATCCTCTTTTAGATTCGTACATCTACATTATAGCAGCAACAACCCTTAGTGATGTCGGAGTGTAGACCATTAACTATTGGAAACATCGGAATGTGCGTTGTTAAATATTTTCTGTGAAATCAAACCAGCCCAAGTAGGCGCTCTTGTCTTGTCTAGTTCCCGGAAATGTCCTCAAGACCACTTCATAGGGACCTTTTGCCCATGCACATCGCTGACGCGGAGCCAAGTCATGCACGTATGCCTTCACCTCGCTTCTCATGAGATCCACACCATCGCTCGTATGCCTTCACCTCGCTTCTCATGAGATGCACACCATCACTGCGCATGACCTTGCTGTAATGCTGACCGTTTGAACATCTTGCTCAGGCCCTGTGAAGAGCTGAAAACCTTACTCGTAACCCACTGCGCGGATCGACAAGATCAAGCGCGTACGTGTCATGGCGTATAAAAAAACGCACACACATGCCTCAGTATGTGCAGAATTCCACCAAAAAAGTACATTTACCGTCCGAGACTGCCAAAAGCTGCAGGGCAAAGGCTTTCACTATTGATCAACGGGGTCCTTTGAAAAAATCAGGCACATTGGAGGGGTGGGCGCCACACCGACCTCTTATGAAGAGAGGTGGGGTGTGATGTTAAGCGCTGCCATACCGCCTGGGGGGGGGCAATTGTTTTGTGCAACTTACGCACTATACGCTGCGGCGGTAGATGACTCGTGAAAACCACGCTGCCATGCCACCAAATCACCAGTGACACATGGAACTGTGTCACTGGTGGCAGGAAACATGCGGTTTCTGACGTTCGGTTTCATTCGCAGTTCCTGCAGTGGAGCAGGAGCAGGGGACTTGCTCGGCCCGCCCTGGAGTCCGGCGGAATGGAGGATGTGCGCTCCTCGGCTTTCCACACCACCTCTCTCTCGTTGGCACCCTGCAAAGACTACGAAAGCTTTCTCTACATCTGAACGGCGAGACTTAACTCGCGGACGTAAATACCAAAGGTACTTTTCATTGTTTTTGTTGGGCATTTTGAACAGGTATGGCACACTCGAAGAAAATGCAGCTGTTCCTTTAAGTAAACACCTTTCGAATATGCATGTACAATGGTAAACATTGTGCACCCTTTAACGGCGCCAGCATTGCAGATTAACGCTTGCTAGATCACACACATTGACATTGTTTTTGTCAGTTTGGTCAGTCACGAACTCACCCTTTTTCCAGAGTCTGCTTCTGTTCACCGTGCACCCCGGCCAACGCCCGTCACGACTGCTGTCTGGGCGAGGGATTGACCAATGATCACGGCGGGCGCACAGCGGCATATTTTTGTAGGCGGACGAGGAAAACAGTGTTGGCTTTGTCTTTGTGACCTGTAGCCCGTTTGTGATGTTAGCTTCGGGGGTAGGTGAGCAATGGCTCTAGCACTGTCAGATGCTCCTCATGTGGTGGTGTGTCTGAACGATGAAGTTTTTATCGCAGATCATGACTTAATTGAGGCAGTACTGTCATGATTTCGTTTTCAGGTGGTTCCCATACACAGACTTGTTGCCGTGCGTTCAAAAGTTCCGTTTTGAGGCCTGACCCGTTTTCTGTTTTATGTGCCTTGTTTGTCATTGTCTTATATCTAGTCAGTGAATGAAGTGTAAGTTATTGACGTGTGTAGGAACAAAAATATACCTGTAAGAACATTTTGCAACCGGTAGTTTTATTAGACTATTATATATAGTATTCAGGCACGTCGTGAAAGAATGATTCATTGTGTCGGGGAAACTTCTGTCACGGATATGTCGATTTCAAACTATTTGGGCCCATGACTTAACAGGGCCGAATTCTCTACTCAGAGCGTGGCCCAGAGCCTTTTTGTGACCTCGAATTATCTATCGCACGCCTTAGGCGTGTTCGCAGTTTTGAGGGATCCAGGGATTGTCCGGATGCTCCCAACTGCCGAGGATCTCGAGTCCATGACGCCGCCATTGAAACTGACTATCAACGTGCGATTTTGAGCGGTTGTCAATGACGTCTTCAGGGGTTTTTGCATTGTGCACTTCGCATTTTGCATTTTTCTTGCACTTTGTGTCGCTGATCGAATTCTTAAAGGGAAAATTTTGGCCAGCAGAGAAGCGAGACACCAAACAGTATAAAATGGCAATGGATTCCATGCCTAGTGGGGCAATTAGGTCCTGGCTTCGATGAGCGAATCACCAAAAGCCTTGCATATCGCCGAAGTTTTCAATATCATTCGCACCGGATGCCTAATTTTTGGAATTCCAAAGTTTCAAAGCTTTCTTTATAGCTGATACCATTCTTTTGTGTCGTAAATTGGTACGCAACTCAACATATTTGATATGGATGCATATCACACACCCCGCTCTGTTGCTTTCTTTCCATTAGATGCAAGTGAGGGAGTGCGGTGGTGCCAGTAGTGACTGAGGTTTCTGAGGTTGTTTGTGATAGATATCTGATATAAAATATTTGACATGTTGGGCGACCTGATTTTTAGACGCTTTTAGAGGGACAGCCGGCTCATCCTCTCACTTAGGATCGGATGATGGACAGGAACTTCTAGGGACTGGCGCTTCTAATGCGCACACAGTTAAAATACTCACAACATGGCATTCGACCAATGTCAGGATAACTGGTACCCAGGGATGTCACCTTCTAAAATCGGCTGGGGGACTCAACCAAGAAGGCTGATCTAATTTATCCCAAAACCCGATTTCTCCCTGGATTATGTCCACTTGAATTGGCGTCCTCGATGATAAAGTTTGACAACAACAAAAATTAACAGACAATATTTCGTAGTTTTAAAGCTACTTTTCTGTGGAGTAATCACATCCCGTACATCCCGTTTCAAGTCAATGTGCACTTTGTTTTTCTGAAAACTTAGATTGGGATGTAACTCACAGAAAAAGCATCTTAGTAAATCTTAGTTAACGGTCACTGATGACCAATGTCGCTAATCTTGTTGTATAGCCACATCAACCACAAGAAAACGTCGGTTCACTTTTCTCTGCGCCGCCCTGTACTTTTAAAAACAGTCATATGTTGCAGTCCATTGTTCTTTACCCTAATCCAGGCGCTAACGTTTGACTAAATTGTCCAACATCTGCAGACTGGCTGAACATATCACGAAATTAGCACGACATAAACACTAGATACCTTCGGTGTGCTATTTGGCATGTAATTAACTTGATACTCCTAGTCTGATAATAGCGTTTTTAGACACCTACTATCTAGAATACTACTAGTTTAGATAGTTGTCCTGCATTTATTTAGCTCGGCATTTCCCCTTTGCTCATTAACATTGAGGAGGCTCAGAATGGCATAAGGGGAGGGGTCTTAGGCCCCCCGAAAGCATATGAAGCGATACACCTGCCGCTGGGAATGCATGTGCAACGGCCCTGGGTTAGGAGATAGTCCGATCACGAAAGCAGTCTTCTTCGGCCCTCGGTACTTGTCGGGGATTCACGGTTAAACCCGATCTGCCGCTGAATTTCCTTCGTTTGAGCGCGAAGGAAATGAAGATGGATCTGGACAGCTGCGGCAGCTGAGTATATCGCAGCATTCGAAACAGTGGCAAGCGGCACTGGAGTGCGAAGTACAATATGTAGGTCTCCCCGAGGCCAAGTCCCCTTACGAAAACCACGTGAGCGGCCGAGCTTATTCCCAACCATCATCATACTCCCCACCGTATCTTGACGTGCTCCAAGCCTGCTTGGGCCTGTGTGGTCTGGCGACTGTCTTTCGTTGCACCGCATAGTCGTTATGCAGATCTAAACTGGATGGCTGTGCTGCCTGGAACGAAAGGAGGAATGTATTGGGTTCCGGGTTGGGCCCAGATTGAGGTAAAGATGGCTGCACAAATGCTGGGCAAAAGGAAGTGATAGTGTGTTGTAAGAATGCCACATTGAGGTCACGGCAAATGGGTACTAAGGGACTTTTTGAAAATACCAGTTCTTCTGCATCATTGTTTGTGTCCTGTTGTTTAAAAAGGCAGTCTGGACAACCACAAGTCACCTTCTACCTCGATCGGATCATCTCGCCATCTTTCCCTGAAATGTCTACGCCTCTCGTCGCTGAAGACAAGACGCGTCGTGTTGTCCATCGATATCGTGCCGTCATCAATGAATTCAACGAGCCAAAAGATCTGCTTAGGAATTTATGCAACAGCGATATAAATGCCGCTTGCGAAGTCGCAGAGCATTTAGCCACGGGGCGCCATACTTTAGTCACATGGCACGGTTGAAACGTGCCTTGCGATCAAATAAACTGTCACATTTAGATCCTTTTCGGTATTTTCTACTGTCTAGTATGCGACACCAAGAATCGGCTGGTAAAAACAGCGAATTTGCGGCCCGTCTGGACCATTTTTGTCGCCGAGTTGGGATGAAACACACAGCAGATACCGTGATGCTAAAGACTACGGCACAGGGTCTTTACGGGAAGGTCCGCTTGTGTTGCGTGGCGACAAGCCCTACCACGAAGGCCTCATGTTAGCTTGTGCGGTATGAGCTGCAATGTTCGTCACGGCCGTCACCAAATGTTTCGGTCCAAAGTACTGTGCACACCAAGCATCAAGTGAAAATGGACATTTCTTTTCGCTGAAGTTATCCACCACTCGGGGCGTTTTGACAACTATGGACATCTTTTTCTATTCTCATTTGCGCGCCTCTCCCTTCCTTATCTATTCTTAGGTTTCTCCCCCCCCCCTTTCTCCAGAGTAAACAAGCTGACAAGCCTGTGTGTCATCACAACTAACCGATCGCTTGCACAACTCTCATGAACTTTATTTTGGTGGGCCGTTACCGACGGCCGGTAATCGTCGTTCCCGACGGCCGGGGATCGTCGTTCCCAATGGCCGATTATTGTCACTATCGACGGCCGATAATCGTCGTTCCTGATGGCCGGTGACCGTCGTGACCGACGGTCGATTATTGTCGTTACCGACGGCCGGGGATCGTCGTTCCCGACGGCCGGTGATCGTCGTTCCCGATGGCCGATTATTGTCACTACCGACGGCCGGTAATCGTCGTTCCTGATGGCCGGTGACCGTCGTGACCGACGGTCGATTATTGTCGTTACCGACGGCCGGGGATCGTCGTTCCCGACGGCCGGTGATCGTCGTTCCCGATGGCCGATTATTGTCACTACCGACGGCCGGTAATCGTCGTTCCTGATGGCCGGTGACCGTCGTGACCGACGGTTGATTATTGTCGTTACCGACGGCCGGGGATCGTCGTGACCGACGGCGGGTGATCGTCGTTCCCGGCGGTGGTACTATCGGCAGGTAACGCCGTGGTGGGCGTTACCTGCCGTGAAGGGCGTCGTGGTGACACCACGCCGGCGGATCATCCAGCTGCTCCACGCCGTGCCGGGGTGTCGAGCAGCGGTTCGCTCTCCCTTAAATCATCATGTCAAAGTCGGGCGACGCTTAGGTAGGAAGCCTCAGCCATGTCTGGTTACGATTCAACTAAACATGCCATTTTTGTGAGGCTAGCACATATTTTCCGAGATCTTCAGCGGAGAAGCACACGATATTGACACACGAAGAGAACCACACCGTCCCTTCTGTGGAGGGGGCCAACCATTTGTACTTCATCTCACGCAGCTGTCTCGACGGCTGCGACCCACGTGTGCCAGACCGATGCAGAAGACGGAGAAAAAACGCCGTCAGCGGAAGCGGGCGTAGGGGCGACACCCGATCTCCCCCGTCGCCCGTCGCCGTGCTTTCTTTTGGGCGACGCGCCCCCATGTGCGTCGTTTCCGTTGGAGGGGGAGCGCTTCGTTCCCCGCGTCTCGGTCCGCGCCCAGGCACTAACCCAGACACGTGCTCCGGCGCGCTCGTGGCGCCGCCGGCACGTGGTCCTCCTCGGGCGCGGCACGTGACAGGAAGGCGGGCGGCCAGCGGCGGTGTCGAGTGCATTGGCGACGGGCTCCGGCCAGCTGGTAAATAAACAGGCGGCCGGCGCCATGCCGGAAGTCGTGAGAGCTCAGAGCTAGACGGTCACATTGTTTGCGAACGGGACTTCGGCTTTGTGGCCTGGGGTGTGGATCTGAGGGCTGGGAGCGCGTACGTGGCGCTTGTAACAGACCTGCTCTTAATGTCGAACACGATCGCAAAATGGATGAAGTTCACGGCCGATGAAATTTGCGTTTTGTTTAAAATAAGTGGAATTATTAATGCTTCTAAAGATGGATCCAATGTTCATGACGCTTAGAAGTCCTTACAACAGAGCAAATTGTGTCGCTCGGCGAGGCCCAGATTAATGGGAAACGAGGTATTTAGTGTAGGTACCATAGTTTCCTGTTTTCCCAGAACTCACTAGACTGAAACAAAGCCGCAGATGGGGGGCGGCTGCCAGCAGTGTGCACCCACCATGACACCAGAAGTAACTGCATCCAAATGAGTCTCTGATCACCTTGGTCACATCGCACTTACTTAACGTGGGACTCGAGCTGCGCCGTGTCCGGAGCGTGTAGAAATTATGGCTATTGTGTTCAGCGTTGGCCATGACAATCTCAGCGCCACGTTGTTCAAACAGTGGGGGAGCTTGAGACCAGCTTGTGAGTCATGCCGTATTAAGTACGTGGCTGCTCTGTGCCACGCTGCTCAATGGCACGGCCACCTTTAGTTCCGGCAAATGTCATTATCAAAACGGTTCGACATGGAGGTGCGTGTGTCCTCCGGTCGTGATC